CCAACAGCAATTTTCTCCTAACGATATCCTTACATTGTCATGAGATGAAATTATGAGAATTAATAAAATGATCACATAAGAGAAAATACTTTAATCTTTGATCAAATTCTCTAAACTAATTCTTAAAGGAAATGTATAGAAATCAGTTTGGAGAATTTGTATGTGGATATTGGGCCTTAAAGGGTTAAATAATATGACGGTTTTGAAAGCTATCTTGACCGGTGAAGGGTCTCGTATAGGAATCTAATGTCAGATGATTTTCATAAAACGGCTGTTCAGACAAAAAAAAAAGAATTGTAAACTTAAGCTTCACAGCAAAGGATTGACTAACAATTGGGGCGTGCCTTTGCTTAAATTTCTCCGGAGGCTTGCTTTAGATTTTCCGTATATTTGTCTGTAATTTTTCCCGGGACTTTCTTACAGACAAATGTATAGGAAATTTTAAAACCATGGTTCTAGGTCTTCTAGCGCATGTAACGCCCTTAATTTTTTTCTAGTAGAATCCTTAGGAGTGAAGCTTTAATATACAATTCATACTTTTTTTAGAACATCCGTTTTAAGCGGAAATTATTCGACATTAGATTCTCATACAAACACCGTAATTTCTCACGCGTTTGCCTATTCGTCAAAATCAGAGAGAACGGTCAATCGAGCAATACCTTCTCCATATTAGGGTTTTCTTTGGCGGGAAAAAGAAGATTCCATGTTTTGATCTTTTCATCCATTGGCTGATAAAACAAACGAACACTTACCGAAACCATTTTTCAAGGTTATACGAAAATCGCCCTAGCGGTAGTTTGTTTCCCTCAAATGTCTCTAATTTCCGTATTAGCGGGGTGTCCGTAATCGCGTCCGTAAGGCGAGCGTTTACTCACTTGACTGTACCTGAATCGGGAGCCCCGCCAGGACCTGAAGCCTGAACGGGCAGAGCCTCTCCGCGTAAGCCTTTATAGGGAGTACCCTCCCCCCCCCGGCCGCCGTCGCCCCTGGGTTACAACTGCGACGTGGGCTCCTGTTATAACCCAGTTAGAGTAACATGATCATGGTCTCCTGCGTGGGAGGCTATGACGATGATATCTTCATTTGAAGAGGAGATTTTTTGCCAAAACGGAGACTTCTAGTCTGTATACAGACCCCCCCCTCCCCTCCCTTCAGTAAAAATCGGATTTTTTCGGAGGGGAGGGGCGGGTCGCTACACAGGTTTGGAGACTTCTTAAGATGTTAACAAGTTGTGCAGTACCGCCTTCTTTCATCTCCCTATATAATATCCGTCGCATCAGGAAGTATTTAGACCAGTCTCCTAGCGTTGGTGCATGCTTTTATCGCAAGCTGACTGGATTATTGTAACAGTCTACTGTACGGACTTCCAAACACTGAGATATCCAAGTTGCAAAGAGTAGAGAACGCCGCAGTTAGGCTTGTTACCTTTTCTTCTTGGTTCAGCCAAGTTACCCCGGTACCCTATGAACTTCACTGGTTGCCAGTGAGATTCGCATTTCCTTTAAGATACTTTTAATCGTTTTTAAATCTTTGCTTGGTCATCACCCCAGTATATAAGTAATTTAATTTCAGTAAGGAATCAATCTGCCTATCAGCTGCGATCAAACGATGGATTACCATTAGATTTCCCTCGTGGGAAGATGTTGACATCTTTCGGAGACAGATCTTTTTCTGTTGCTGTTTCCACTCCTCTTGTTGTGTAGCTTTGTGTTGTCATTGTGTGACATGAGTGGGTGTGTACTTGTAAAGTGCCAAAGTTTTTTGCCTCGACAGGGTTACAAACTAACCACTCTGCTATTTCGCCTTTCGCTTTACCAATTTGACGCGAGTTTCATCTCCGTGAAACTGATTTTTATCCTTGCAAAAGAACCTTTGAAGAATCACGACGGGACTTTCCTCTACGACCCAGTGGGCAGCGCCGGGTTGTTCAAGGCGGGGTTAAGATAACCCAGGGTTAGTGCGAAATTTGAATTCAGATATGAAAGCTTATAAAGCAATTTCAGTTAACTCGTTTTGTCTACAATTTGGTGACTGGATGCTCTAAAAAGAATAGAGAAAATTATCCGAGAAAATGCTTTTGATAAAAAGAAAAAGAAACCTGGGTTAAAATCTAACCCTGCGTTACTGCTAATCGGCTTTAAGACGACGACGAAGACTGAAGATGATGATCATGTGGATTGGATGTTCATTACAGGAAAAGGCTGGGAGATAATAGCACACATTTGCATCTTTATGTATTTGTTGGTCGTTCTGCAGATCAGAGAAGAGGTATGCTCAAGATAACTGAACCTTATCTTGATTCAGCCTCTTCAGATACCACCTTTCACTTCCTTCGCACACTTCTAAATGAAAACTAATTTATAATTCACAACAAGAAAACAGTGAAAATATCAGTAAGCCTAAGCACACCTTGATAGGGGGGTTACAGGAGGTACACTAAAAATTTGACTAATGCTTGTGCCATTAGGTCTACAATATCCCTTGCAAGAGTCAGTTGTGCACCCTTTCTTATAGGGTGGTCATCCTTGAATGTTTGCTTTTTGCGTTTGTGTCTTAGTGGTTACTTGCAATAAATGTAAACGTGGATACTGTTTATAGTAGCGGGTTAAGACCGAGGCTATAATCACACTTTCCACTAGCATGAAAATCATATCAGTTAGGGCTTTTGTTCATCCACACTAAGTACAGTGCATTTGGCACGATTCCCGTAATGGAGCGAAGCTGGGCTACACCAATCTCTAAAGTGGAGAGTCGCATATCAGATAAGTGTTCACACCATACGGGATAGCCGCTATAGTCAACCTCGTCCCCAGGGCTTTTCCCTTAACAAATTGTTCACCCATTTTTTAAGGGAAAAGCCCTGGGGACGAGGTTGCGCTATAGTATGAACATAGCCAAAGGAAGGTACTAATATGCTTACCTTTCACAATTACTGCCGGGTCATTTCTTAACAGATATTTGTTTGGGGATGCTCCAAAAACATCGGTACCCGTTTTGTGTTCATTTTAATAACGGGCATCATGGATTTCTGGACTACATTTCAATTAGAGACCTAATTTCTTGCCTTAATATTTATTTTTTAATTCTTTACCTCACCTTTAGGTGACATTGGGACTCAACCCAGGTGGAGATTTTCTCACACCGAAGGCTCTAGAAGTAATAAAAAAAAGCAGAGCGCAAGTTGACCTTCATTCCTATGGTGTTCGTTTTGCTGCGTATCTAGGGAACCATACGTTTTTTTCCGTTTCTTGAATTTTCACCCTGAAGACCCGCCAGCGATAGACTTTCTTGTTTTCCTTCAAGTAAGTACACGTAGACGCAATTACATTCATATATTATGTTATGAAAGTTGGTTCTATGGCGATGAAGGGGATAGGCTTTATTTCAATTATATTAATCATTCTCATCAATGAGAACTCCTTTTTGACTGAATCTGGGACGTCAAATCAGTATGTAATTTCTGCGCTGATGTCTCAGGTGTCATTTCGCAGGGAAACCATTGGTGGCATCATAAATTATTGGCTATTTCCTCAGGCTAAGGATTTTTTAAAAGAAACTTGGAAATTCTGTGAATTTTCTTCACTTTGTCCCAAGAATGGAAAAGGTTTGAGATGGCATAAATCAATCTTATACATGTATTAATAAGTATTTTGCACTGACTTGGTCTTTTTATGTTACTTCTTTTCAGGGCGTTGGGAACACCAGTCAAGGCTTTGCAAATTTTTTTTCTGTTTTGCTTACTCAATGATCACATCAGAAAAAAAATCAGACTTTGTTGTGTGCGGTTTACACTATGGTATCAGTATCAGGAGAAGGATCCACTGTTTGAGAGTAAAAAATTTCCTCTGAATGTGACATCAGACTTCAGTTTAAACTCTTATGGAGCAGGCGATTGCATTTCTGTTTATTCAATGAATTATACTGCTTAAGTTGCACACTTGCTTTGCATCTATTCTCTTAGTTGTGGGCAAGTATGCAGCTAATGAATTGTACTGCAGAGGGCTTTCACTGACCTGTAGATAAACTTGGTGGGGGTGTGCCCGACCCTATTTCATACCAAAAAAATGCCATTCTCCACGCCCGTTTTCAGACGTGGCTTCCAAAATCCATACCCTTTTTCAGACCTGGCCCCTAAGAAATTATTTCATCCTTAATTAGATTAAAAGCCAACAAATCAATGTTTCTCTTTCTTTCTTATTCATTTCTAAGGGAATTGAGACGATAAATATGTTCATACACTCACGTAGTTTCCTCTAAAACCATACCCGATTCCAGACCAAAATGGGCAAAGTCTATACCATTATGGGCTCCTGTCTATACCCGTTCTCAGATCAGAACTGCGCAAAAACCATACCCTTTGGCCGGGGCGGCGCATATGTATATGGTTTATATAAGGGAGTACCCCCCGCGCCATTAGTTTGCGACGAGTCCTTATGAAACTTTGCAGTTTTGCTTGAAATATCGATCTACGGTAGTCGTTTTTTGAAAGAAAAATACGAAAAATTGCATTTTTTTAGCCTTCATAACGGGCGCTTTATGTGTAGCTTAATGTCTACACAGGCTATAGCAGTTTTGCGTGACATATGCGTAACGCGTTATTGTGTGACCTAAGTGGGTGTTGAGAGGGTGTGGTCTTATACGATGACCTCGTGATGTTACATGTCTAGTGGTTGGCCTCTGCTTGTAGCGAAATCGAAGATCGCCCCATTATCGAGGCCTCTCTGAAACAGAATGCAAATACACTTAGTTTTTGCTTCGACAGGGTTATAAACTACCGTATCGTCACTACTATTTCCTTTCACTTTGCCAGTTTAATGCGAGCTTCATCTACCTGAAACTGTTTTCGATCCTTGGAAATATTATATCGGATTATACCTGCAGGTCACGTAGACGGCTTCCCATCGACTGATGAGAATCACGGGACTTTGAGGGCTAAGAAACACAGCTACAGATTGAGTATGTTGCGCGATTTCAATTTGAGCGAAGGTCGAGGCTTTAACATGGAGTCTGTAGTAACGGGTCCGAGTAATCGTTATTCTATAACATATGGCCGTCAAACAGAAATTGCAGAGTCGAACCTTAATAAGATCTTCACAACCACGGCTGCTTCATTGTCGCTAATCGGAGCACTTTTGATCATCATTACTTTCATTATGTGGCCTGATTTAAGAACAAACTCTCGCAGAATGATCATGTTCATATCCATCGGTGATTTCTCCGTGGCTCTCTTTAACATTATCGGGATTTATAACCCGTCTTCGGACAACGAGATATGCAGAATGCAGTCACTAGTTACGAATGTGGCGATTTTGTCTTCCTTCATGTGGACTTTGAATTTGTCGTTTTACTTTTACCTGACTATCTGCAGAAAGATCTCCGCCGAATATGAAAGGCGAATTATGCAGTTACTTCACCTCATAGGGTGGGGAATTCCTATCTTGATAGGAACTATCGCGTTCACAATGGGCGCATATGGATTTTCCAGAAATGTTCTCACTTCTGGATGGTGCTGGATTTCGGAAAATCAGAAATGGTGGGAAGTTGTCATGTGGATGTTCGTTACAGGAAAAGGCTGGGAGATCATGTCATATATTTGCATCTTCAAGTTTTATTTGTTGGTCATACTGCAGATCAGACGAGAGGTATGTTCAAGAAACCTAGACCTTTAATTTCCTGATCCAGCCTCTCATGCCCCTTTCACTTCCTGTTTACACTTCTAAACTAATTTATTATTCACTAGGAGAAAAGAGAAGTTACAATGCGGGGAGTTACAATGCAGTACTTTAAAAATTTGACTAAGGCTGCATTGCCGGCTGCATTCATTATAAAGGATTAAATTGACTACAAAAACCGTTGACGAAGATCCTGCTTGTTGTAAACGTTGGATCTCTAGAAAAGAGATTTAATCAGCCAAAATATAAAGAACCAAGAACGAGAAGTCCAAAGACTACTGCAAAGCTGATTCAGAACAACATGTATTGTTTTTTAACCATAACAAATATTTTGGCTGGCCATATATACCAGCCTACTTCAGGTTTACCGCTGTTACTGAACTTATGTAGGAACAGTAACATCTGTGAACCTGAAGAAGGCTGGTATGGCTAGCCGAAACATTGTTATGGTTAAAAAACAATACACGCAAAGGATATTTTTTTAAAGGGCAAAAATTTTTAAATATCCCCCCACATCATACAGAATTTTTTGACATCCCCTCCTCTTGGTTCACAGATTTTAGTATTTCTGGTGTAAAGTGTAAATTAAAGAAAGTTGTTACAGATTAAAGCTAGCTGTGCCTCACAGGGAAATATTTGCATACCAGGGCCATCATGTGGCAGCTTACATGTAGATTCAATGATGAAATGCAATGATTCCGAGATTGGTTAAACTTGGGACCTAGACTAGCAAAGAACAAGCCCAAGTGCTTGAAAAGAAAGCAAACAAAAAAAAAGCCAACAAAAAGGCATTTGAAAAGCTATGCAACTCTGAACTGGTGCTAAAAGATATTGAATGGCCTGATCAGCAGAAAAAGAAAAGGGAATTGCAAGTCAGCCTATCTCTGAAGAAAGGTCCACGTACTTTACATTTTAGTGAAATACAAATCTCTCCGAAAAGGAAAAGGAAGTTAATTCACTATTTTTAAGACCAAATTACCAGCTATAGAGCATAATGCATCACCAAGAGAAACAAAAATGAATATAAAATTTGTTATGCATCAGGTCAAAATTGTCAAAATTTACCTTGGTTTAAGTTGTTTTCCTTTTACCAGGGAATGGTAATAATATATTATTAGGACTATGAAAATGAGTCATAATAATGATACAAATACTTAATCTTTCAATGCAGGCATCTAAAAAAAATCAGCGTTTGGGTCATGTAGCAGCTGCTTGGAAGAGAAGTCACCAATGGTGCGTTTCTCTGACCCCAAACAATACTAAAACAATTGAAAGAATGACATGTCACTGTTTCCTGCGACCACTTGCGAGAGACCTTATGAGCAGCTGCTACACTACTGTTGCCCTTCCTTCCTTCAGAGATTTTTACCATCGCCCCCTTTTCCCCTAAGAACCTCCCCAAAAAAATCCTCTGCCCCACCTCCCCCCGACCCCTGTGCTATACATAATGAATGCAGCCTAATGCTTTGGTTTCTCCACCCTTTGATTCAATTCAATTCAATTCAATTCTTTATTTCACACTATGTAAGACATTTACATAAGTGTACCTAGGTAGGAAAATAAAGTAGCTGATAAATTATTGAATTGAATTAAGAGTGTTACATTAGCTCTCCAATAACCACACAAGGTCTCAGCTTTAATGTGCCCTTTCTTACATTTAGGTTGTTATCTTCAATGTTTGCTTAAAACAATTTTTGTGTTTGTGTCTTAGTGATAACTTGCAGTAAATGCAAACATGGATATTATAAATAGTACTGGGTTAAGACCAAGGAAGGTTCTAAAACAAAACAATATATTACCTTTAGTTTTCACAGTGTCTGCAGCCCAGGACCATTTCTATTAATACCCAGAAATAAAGGAAGGAGTAATAAACAAAGTTTTGTTTGGGAATGCTCTGGACAAACTACATTTGAAAGAGCCTTAATTTCTTGCCTTAATAGAGTACTAAAGTGATGACATCATAAAAATGAAATTTCTGAAATTATGGGATTTGTCAGGATATTCTGAAAGAGCAATGTCCAAGAGGCCTACTTGCCAAAAATGAGCATTTCGGGGCAAATTGTCTCTGAGATCGTAGCCCAGTTATGCTTAGAAAACTCCATACAAACCTTTCTAAATTTTTTTTGGGTCAACCCAAAAAACAATTAGAAGGGTTTGTATGGAGTTTCTGAGTATAACCGGGCTATGATCTCAGGGACAATTTGCCCTGAAATGATCATTTTTGGTAAGTAGGCCTCTTGGACGTTGTTCTTTTAGAGTATCCTGACAAATCCCATAATTTCAGAAATTTCATTTTTATGACGTCACACTTTAGTACTCTATATATATTTGTTTATTTTTTTACCTCACCTTTAGGTAAGATTGGGATTCATCCCAGGTGGAGATTTTCTCACACCAAAGGCTCTAGAAGTAATAAAAAGAGCAGAACGCAAGTTGACCATCATTCCCATGGTGTTCATTTTGCTGCGTATCTGGGGAACCATACGATTTTTTCGTTTCTTGTATTATCACCCTGAAGACCCACCAGCAATAGAGTTTCTTGTTTTCCTCCAGGTAAGTAGACTCAGTTATTACATTATGCTTTTATAGTTGGCTTGTCAGCTATATAATATATTAAAGCAAGACTTCATTTCACCATTAATCATACTCATTAATGAAAACTCGTTGAATGAACTAACAGATGCCTAGGGCGTGCATTTATTCAATTTCAGGGATCCAGGGGGGGGGGGGGGGGGGGTAAAGGGGGGGGGGCATTAAAAAGGGGGGTTTTGGAGGATAAAAAAAATTTTCCCACCATACTCTTTTGCAAAAATTAAAAAATCCCAAATTTCTCTTCCTTTTTTTGTTCTTTGCTTGGGGTTTAGCATTACCCCTGGTTTTTTATTGGTTTTTTTAAATAAAAAAAATTAAAAAAAAATAATTTTTATTTCCTATAATACCACTCATAATAACAAAACTATTGTGAAAAAAAAAAGAGGCGTGGGGGGGGTTTTTTTTTTTATTTGGGGGGGGGGGGGGGGGGGGGGGGGGTGGTTAATAGGTAGGAGGCATTTAAAAGGAGAGTATTTGAAGCTAAAAAAAATGTTCCCACCATACTCTCTTGCAAAAATTCAAAAATCCCAGATTGTCCTTCATTTTCTTGTTCTTTGCTTGGAGTTTAGAATATCCCCTGGAGTCTCAAACTTTTACTACAGTCCTTGTAATGCTTCTGATGCCATCTGCAAGTTTTGTATATTTCGCTAATTTAAAATGACTTAGACACCAAAAAATCTCTATCCTCCTGCTGTATTTTTTTAACATTTTCTGCTTGTTGTGAGGATTGCAATCACTCATATAATATTGGTTTAAGGTACAATTAAATGCATCCCCAGGGGGAGGAGGAGATTCTGCTAGAAAATTTATTTGGGGTGCATCCAATTCCTGGAGACCCTGGTTTCAGGCGTCTAGAAATGAAGACCTAGAAAACGAAGACCCGCCTGTTTTCTGAGGTCAGCAGGGTACTTGTAGTAACTCTTGAGTCATCAGATCAGTTTGCAATGGTTTCTCAGATGTCATTTTGCAGGGAAACTATTGGTGGTGTCATAAATTATTGGCTGTTTACTCAGGTTATTAGGATAGGATTCTCTGAAAAGAAATGTGGAATTTTTTGTGAATTTTCTGCACTTTGGCCACTATTAGGAATTGAAAGGTTTAAGATGGCATAAATCCATCTTACATATCTTTTTACAGGGCATTGGGGACAGCAGCCAAGGCTTTGCCAATTTTGTTCTGTTTTGCTTACTGACTGATCAGATAAGAGAAAAATTCAGACTCTGTGTTGTGAGGTTCACACCATGGTATAACTATCTGGAGAAGGATCCACTGTTTGAAAGTACAAACTTTCCACTGAATGAAACAACAGACTTTGGTTCAAACACGTATGGAGCAGCAGCTAGGGACTGCATTTCTGTTAAATCAATGAATTAATTATGTAATATGCAAACTTGCTTAAAGTAAGACTTGAGACTTTGAATGCAACTATTTACAGCTGCATAGGGCATTTAAAACCTGTACATAAACACTGGAATGGACCAATCTTTTTTTTACTTTGTGATCTTTTTTATCACCGGCAAGGCTAAATGGACAAACAGTCCTTAATTGTTAAGTTAGTAATAAAAAATATCATAAAAAGAAGATGGATACATAAACTTTATTACAGGTTTAAGGATTATACAAATTTCTGTTGTACATCCTTCATGAAGTAATAAGTTTTTCTTGAGATTTAGGGCTCTTCTGTATATTAAGACTAAGGACCAACTGTCCCCTCCTCTCGATCTGCCACCGTGAATCATGAGCAGTTTCGGTGGCTATTATTTTTTAGGTTGTTATAACTTGTGCAGTTTTTAATAGCATTGCAAATGAATGGCAATTAAACTGGCAATGCTTTTGGACGTTTTTATTAAATTTTGTGCCGATTTTGATGGTATTATTAGTAGCCTGAGCATTACATGTACATTGAATTACATATACCATTGAAGAAGCCATGGCCTATCAAGGACAGCAAGCTGTATTTAAATGACATAATCTGAGCTTATTAACAGCAATGTTAACCTCAGGCAATGTTTTTAAAGTTTATAAGATTGTGTTACTCTGTGACAATAGTCTGTTAGATTATGTTAGATTATGTTAGTCTGTGCCACACTAGGGAATGTGTGCTTGTTTGTATCACAAACGGTTTTTGAACTGTAATAGTACCTGAATAGGTTGAACCCAAAAAAGTTTACTGTTTTAATGCTTTTGATGGTATAAAATAATAAAACCTATTCTGTAAAAATGCCCACTGGAATCTTGCCTCATACTTTAATGTTTCATGTGTTTCTGGTCCCACCAAATTACTTGCATAGAAAACACTTGAGGAAGAGAGAAAATACCTAGTCGTGTTAAGTTCTAGAAATTTAGACAGGACCCTCCATTCGTGCACTGCGCCGCTGGAGTTATTGTTATTGGAGAGTACACTACAGGGGGGTAGGATCCCAGAAAAATAGGGGACAGGAGGTGTACCAAAGGCTGAAGAGGAAAGGGCTGGAGGTGGGATAGCCTCCCACGCATGTGTTCTTCGGGCATGTCACACGTGACCAAGCCCTAACAACTTCTGCATGGGATGCTAGTGGTGGGAGTTCAGGAGAGGGAAGAGAGGAATATAGTAGGGGGGGGGGTAATTGCAAAAACGTATGATGCTTAATAATATTTTGCAATTGAAAAAGGGAGAAAGGCATGAAAAAAGGGGTGGGAGCTATTAACTATGCACTTTCTAACTCTGTGCTGTAAAGACCAAGACATCAGGACAGGCCAGTTTGTTGAGTTCATCTTTACCGATGGCAGGAGCGGAACATAGAATGAAGATGATGATGTGAACTGCAGGTATAAACATTTTAAAGGAAGATATGATCGTCGCAGTTGTAATAACAATTTTACCCAGAGGCCACCGTTTCGAGTCCGTTGAATTTATA